TCGAATATTTAGTTTGGCCCGTGGTAACGCACCCCTAAATCCTACATGGGACACACATCCACGCCTGTCGAAGGGACGTGAAATTTAGGTAACTAAACGGGACAGAAACAACATAAAAATCGATACATTACGTGACACGAGGGACCCTACCTACGCGGGAGGACACCCTGTAGTACTCTTGACGTGAGTTAGTGAAACACGAAAAATTTGTCAATTTTTATAAAAAAACTGGTAAATTTTTGGCGAAAGACGGACCCTTTAGTAAAGATTCAGTAATATTGGCAATTACCCTCCCCCGGACGTCCTTGTGAAAGGGGCGGAACGTTTTGTAAATAAGACCCATTTTATTGTTAAACAAGCGACGAAAGGCAGTCGTGGAGACCGCCGACACTGTCGTCGACAGGAGACTCCAGAGGGGGCGGGGAGAGTTCTGAAAAAGACCCATTTTTTTCGGTACACGAGGCGGGGGACCTAGCCCAGAACGTACACACCACGGACACTCAGAGACCGATGACAGGTGACGGGCGTAATACTCGGTGGATAAAAGCCTATGTAAAAGAAGTAAAAGCGGTGAAAAGTACAAAAATATACATATAAAATATAATAATAATAATAATTAATAATAACATTATTATACATATACATATGGACACATATTACAAAACATTTTAGTACACTATAATTTATTTATTATTTTGTAACTATATTGGGAACTTCCAAGGGTCCCCGGTTTATGTCACCGGCTGCCACAGTCTGAGTAAATTTGTTACAAATGTGGTCCTAAGTCAGTTGGGAAGGGACCAAACATTTTACGCCACTACCCGTGGGACCCCATTTAGGTCTCATAAATTTCGTTGAAAAGGGGCGGAAAGTTTGTGCATAAGGACCCACAAATCGGACAGTTTAAAAACGGTCCTGTAGTAAATTGTTAACTGGCAGAGTTGAGTAAATTGTAACTGGCAGAGAGAGGACCTTTACGTGTCTTATTCAGGTTCAGGTACAAGGCGGTCGGTCAAAGGTTCCTGCTCCAGTGATACAATTTCCATGTAGCGACGTTTTACTGTCCGATGTGAGAGAATCTAGGTCTGCAAATTTTTGTGAAAGGGGCTGGTAAATTTGTTGAAAAGAAAGGGGGGCGGAATAAAAAGGAAAGTTTGTGCTACCAGAGCTGCCATAAGGACCCACAAAATCGTACAGTAAAAACGTCCTGTAGTTAATTGTAGACTTGGCAGAGGTACCTTTACGTGTTCTAATACAGGTAAAGGTCACTCTCCCAGTTACAATTTACTATTAGGATCGATTTTACTGTCCGATGGTTGAGAGAAGGTTGCAAATTCCAAATTTTGGTTGAAAGGGGCTGGTAAATTTTGGTTGAAAAGGGCGGAAAGTTTGTGCCATAAGGACCCACAAAAATCGGACAGTCTAAACTCGGGACAGTAAAAAGAAACGTTCCTGTAGTAAATTGTAACTGTGCAGAGGACCTTACGTCGTCTTATACAGGTCGTGGCAGTATACGCCGTGAAGTTGTTTGAGGCCTGCCAGTAAACCCAAAGCAGAAGAAGAAGAAGTGACGTCAGCGGCTTCATTTGCCTAATCCACCCCCAGGGACTTATTCCGGTGTGAACGCGATCTGTACTTAGTTAATGAGAACTAAAGAGTTCTGATGAACTAAGTTCTGATCAACCTTTGTGGGAAAAGTACTGCAGTGTGAAAGTGCCTAATGTCTCTGTGAAACTTTGAAATTATTACTGATAATCCATCATAACATTTATGTCAATAACCGGAGTTGTTTGATCATTCTCAATGTCACATTTATTTTTCATTTAATAGAGATTTATCCCAAAAATATTTGCATATTGGTTCGACAATAGAAAAAGCTTCCACACTTACAATTTGAACGTTACATGATGCAAATAGATATCCAGCCATGCAATTATCAAACCCAAAGTGGAAAGCATTTAGAATCTAACAATTACTCCTGTGCTCGTAGTTTCTATGACATAAAAGTGTAATATAATGAATAGTTTTGCATCTAAATAGTTATTGCTGACCTGTTGGCTTTGTGACAGCTGTAGCCGTGATCTTGATCCAATGTCATGCTGAACATTGGACTATTTTCTGTATTTACTTTTATCTTCTTTTCCCCTCTCAGAGATATTACCTTATGCTGACTGGCATTCCTGTGGCTATCATTATTACTAGTGTGAATGTCTTCAAGGGTAAGTAGGAATATACTGTATATCTTCAAGTTTCAGGTGTATCTTCTTCAATTTAAAGATGTGGATTTGTCACTAAAAAAATGTAGATACATGTTACTTTGTATTTAAATTTGAGTTTGATTGTGTTGTAAAGGTGAGGCAGAGCTGGTTGAAACTCCTGAGGGCTACGAACCTGAGCACTGGGAGTACTACAAGGTAAGTCTTAACTAGCAGCTTATCTCATACACACTTTCAGGAGGTTTTTTGTGTCACTGATCTGGACCCTTGGAAGGGAACGATGGGCTCAAGCATGGTTTACATTTGGAAATAGAAGTCATTACCTATATGCCTTTTTAAATGACAAAGCCTATAAGATGAGTTGGCCTTTGGTGAATGCTTAATGAGCAATATCATACCAAATATTTTGTGCTTTTATTATCTAAACAGAGTTTTATAATTGTATATATTTCAGAGAGCAGCATATGCACAATTATCCTATCATTCATGTGGTAATATTGAGAGAAAAGTAAAAGGATAAAATCATATATCGTCACTTGCACTAAATCTACTTTATAAAGTCATCAATCATCATTTTCAATTCAGCTGCAAAATCTGTTATTGTTTATTTGATGTAATATATATATATATATAAGTAGTCACTGAAAATCGTTTTGCATTCTGTCTTGCAGCACCCCATCACCAGGTGGATCACACGGACGTTGTTTGACTCTCCAGTGAAGGACTATGAGAAGATGATGGCTGCAATCCAAAACGAGAAAGAAAAGTCTGACTTGAGGTGAATTTGAGTGCTGCTGTGTTATTTTGTTACTTCTTCAGAGTGAAAATGTCCTTATGTTGTATTTAGTGCAACATTATCAAACTACTGCTTATAGCTTGCAGAAGTTAGGCGGTAATGCTATAATGCATTTTCCCTTTGAGTGTTTCAGATTCCTTCTCATTAAAAACGTATGAGCAACATTTTTCTACATGTTGATAACATTTAATGGAATATCTATATCATATCTTTGTTTTCTGAATGGCTATTATTATAACAAGTGTCCAGACGCACTGAGGCATCCAGGGAGCAGTGTGACGGTTTGTCCGAACACAAACGGTTTCCTTTTGTTAAAAGGGATTCTTGTTTGTCAGCTGCTCCACTTTGCACTCAGTATAGCTATAAATGTTGATAAAGTTATATCATAGCCATTTGTATAGTCATCAATTTATGAATGTATTAAATATAATTCAAAATGTATCTTGTCAAACTTGAATGTGTTAATTGTTACACACCAGCAATTTATTTGAATGCTCATTAGGACTCTATACAGTTCACAAGCTTTGTTTCTACAATTATTTTTTTCATGATTTTTATATTTTTCATGGCTTTGGGACTTGTAGCACTATTCTGGGAATCACACCTTGCTCTTTTCTGTTATCTATGAATGATGATTTCATTAATTCCCTGCGTGTTTGTTGTCAACAGACTGACCCAGTTGGAGGTGGGTCGACAGATGAGGATGAAGGGAGACGGCCCCTGGTTTCAAAGCAAGACCCCCAACAGGGATTTAATTCACCAAGGCCACAAGTCAACACCTGACAGTTAATCTATCAGTACATTCTGCCGATCAGTCTCACTGTTTGTACATTTTTTCCCTTCTTACGTAAATAAAGTATCTATATCGACTCCCAATATTTTTGTTTTACAGTGTCTTTTTGGCTCCATTCTACAAAAAAAACGTTTTACCTTGAGATTAAAACCTTACCACTTAAAACAGACGAGTAGTGCAATCATGAGACTTTTAATGTTGACTGTAAGGTTTTAGCAAGTTTTCTTCAACATTTTAAGGTAACTCGGTGAGTGATTTATAACAAATGGTCATATTGAGGCTGCAGTGTTCCTTTACATCGTTGTGAATAAGGTTACATTGCTGAGCAGGGAGGCAAGTTATTTATTTTGTGAAATCTGAATGTCATCTCCTTGTCACTTGGTGCTTCATCTCGGTCAAAGATCATTTTTATATTAATTTCATCCATTTGTTTATTCAACCTAAGCCTCCTAAGGGATAAGGACTGCAAATGAATTAATGTATAACATATATATATATCTTAGTTTTTTTACAAGTTCACACATGACATTTAACTTTATGGAGGTGTCCTAGATAGGTTGCATTTCTAATTCATATATAGGCTATAGCCCTGTTAATATGTACTGTGCATAAATGGATACATAGCATTTTAATATCACATGTGTGATCCACAAGGAAGTTGGCAGGCAACACATAAGTCTCTCAACAAGGACACACTGTAGGCAACAGGATACGATTTTGGAAAATATATTGTTTATTTTTTGCAATAGACGAGAGAGTCCACCTGGTGGCAGAGCTGTTCAGACATGATTGTTTGTAACTGACAAAGAACATTTGTATGCTATAAGATGCACTCATTTAACCTATTTGCTGAATATATTTTGGTGCGACTGCTACAATTTATGAGCGAAAAAGGCTACTGAGAGCTAAAATTGAATGTATTTTTTTAAATGTAGCCCTAATACATAGTGTCAGAGCCTCTTATTGTGCTTTTAGGGTACTGCGAGTGGTAGCCTATATATTATTAAACCAAAGTGCACTTCATATTTGTACTTCTCCTGGACCCTGGAGGGGAAACATGCTTTAGTAAGTGTGAGTGGCTTTATGAATCATCCTCTGAGGTGGGAGGGGCCCCTCCGGTAAAACATCCCGTGTACAAAGCGTCACCACTGGTCACCACAGTCAACAGAAGCAATGTCATTTCTGCGCAGGTCTAAGATTTCTGCATGGTGGAATCAAAAGGAAAACAACCAATAACGACAACATTAGCCTCCATGCTTCGAGCTTTGCCGCCGGTGTAGCAGACCAGCCTCCACCCCTCTGTCATTTTATTTGTATGTCTTTCAGCGTCACATCCCCCTGGCTGGAGGAATGTAGAGACGGAGGGATTTAAAAATAGCATCCTCTCCTCTGACACTCTGCTCCGGGGGCTCCGCCGCACTGTGGTGCGAGAAGCAGGAATGCGAAGATGGCTGCAGACCTCGGAGAGCTGCTGGTCCCATACATGCCCACCATCAGAGTGCCCAGGACCGGGGACAGGGTTTTCAAGAGCGAGTGCGCCTTCTCCTTCGACTCTCCCGTAAGTGTCCGCACACACACGCCGAGACAGGAGCGTGTTGTCCGGGGAGGGTGACGCGGGCTGAGTCCCATTTGTCTTGGCTTAGAAACACACGTGAATCCGCTGTAATGTGTGTTTATGTGTCTCTATGACCACATTCCCCCTGAACTTGGGAGAAAATAAATAATTACATGTTGTTTACATCTCAGGAGAGGGATGGAGGTGCTTTCCTTTGTGCAGTTCAGGCCACATTAAAACACACAGGCTAACATACAGCGTTTAGCCTTGAACTAATTAAATGAAGTGTTAGCTGCCCTGTCAGGGTGAAGCTAGTGTGTGTGAGTTTATAGCCACATGTATGTTGTTTTGTAATTTATAAAGCCTTTAAAGTTGACTCGGTGGTGCCATAACTGGAAATTTGTATTCTCAGGAAAATATTTACATTATGCTCGTCGTAACTGAGAATATGTTATAGGGATTTTAAAAATATGAATTGTGCGAGTTAGCCTTTAGTGGCCTATTAAAGCTAGTTTATGTTGTGATGTAAAGTTACATTTCTCCTCAATAGTGCATGGTTGTACAATGATCTCCATGAACGTTTTTGTTATCCTTACTTGACTATAACTCAATAGTGAGTTTTTAGTGGCCTTCATAGTAGAAGTGGTAGCCTACAATATGTGTTACGTTGTTTTAACACCATGTGTCACTATAAAGTTTTGATCCAAAAGTTTCCAATATATTTTTCATTTTCTGTTTTTTTTTTGTGGTTGAGAAAATAGCGATAAGGCTGCAAATATCAATATTTTGATTTATATAGTTTAAAAAACGTTTGATCTGTGAGAATAAATAGATTGTATGACATTCCCTTTAAGTTGTAAAGACTAATTTGTCGACAGACTGACTGACAGTCAGAGTTTTTGATTCTTCTACATACAGCATAAAAACCTACTTTCTCGACTTTCTGAAACCGTTTTTAAAGGTGACTCAGCTGTCTGGAGTTCATCATGTTGGTCGAGGGTCGGTTTATTTTTATCCTAGTGCTGTTGAAGCTCATATGTCACTCTGGGCCACTTAAAGGTTTATCACAGGGGTTTATACGGCCCACACTGATTGCAGATTTAGGTTAGTTTTGAGATGGTATTCTTCAAGTATCTTGTCTCTGACTGTCCATGTGTGAAAATACCGCAGGATGTTTCTTTCCCGTAACAATAAAACCCCATCCTGCATTTTCAAACACTTTAAATGTGAGCCACTAGTCACATGCAGATTAAATAATCATACCTTTTGTATTCTGTAACAAGTTTCAGATACTGTTAGTCAATCTAAGATGAGACATGTGTGGGCTTGAGTCTTCATGGACTCAGCAGTTCTTTGAGGAATAAGGTTACTATGTTTTTAAACCTGCAGTACCGCGGTGCCTCAAAAGCAAAGAGGAACTACTTGAACTTAGATTGAGCTACATTAAATTCATAATTGTGTAGCTGTGTGTAACAAGATGCACATTCCTGAGTTAAAACAAAAGTAACAGCAACATTCACACATCGCATTGCTTGTATGTAACAAAATATCACAATCTTGAGATATTGTCTGGCTAGAAATATTTTTTAAAATGGTGGAGATTCTTTTTATTTACAGCATTAAAACAAAACGGGCTAATAGGCAGCAGGCATTTTCTTGAATAGAGTACAACTTTTTTTTCTGTGTAAGAATGCTGAAACAAATTTTTTGCTGTTTGACAACATGCAAAAATAGACAGGCTTTTTGACTGTGTGTTTGCAGAATCATTGTCACACATCTCTTAAATATACTCTTTACATCTTGTGCTACAATTTTGTAACTCGTGCCAGATATGTGGCCAAAGTATCAAAATCCCTATTAAAATGTAGCCTTAACGTTGAGCAATCTTTGCTTTTGCTGAAATAATAATATTTACCCTATTTTCACTGTAAAATATTTGAAGTATTCCTCTGTCTGTCAGACAAGGCAATACAAGATAGAATATTTATGAGGATATATATTTATATACAAGTAGAATAAAGCTGCTTTCTGGCTACTGCAATATAAAGACAGAAGTCACCAATTATTTTTACTATATGGTAGAATAGAACTTTCTGCATTTCTGTTTTCCATGTGATAAATGAGCTGTTTTGATGGTGCTCCACCTCGTGCTGCTGCTCATTGTTACTGTTTGTTTTGGTCTGCAGGAGTCAGAGGGAGGCCTGTATGTGTGTATGAACACATTCCTCGGCTTTGGACGAGAGCATGTGGAGAGACATTATCGCAAAACAGGACAGAGCGTTTACATGCACCTCAAACGACACGTCAAAGAGGTACGTTTTACCCCGGCCCTGTGTGTTTATTTGGAACTGATTTTTTACTGGCACTTGTTGTTAAGAATGAGAATAATAATCTTTATTTACACATGACTTTTAAAAAGCACATTTCAAAAGGGTTTTGCAATTAATAAAACCAGTATACAGAAGAGCAAATGAAAGACATCAACTTAAATGTGAACATTTTGAAATCTTGATGCAGATTTGTGACCAGCTAGATCTCAATTACACTTACATTAGAAATACATTTCGGTAAACTGATTAAATTCAAACTTGGTATTGCACACATATCTAATACTCTTTGAGAGTCTCACAACACATGGGAAAAGGTGTATGGTAGAATTAGAAAAGATATTAAACTTTAACCCATATTTAAATAATAATAATAATCGAATAAATACAAATAAAATAATAATATTACAAATAAATATGAGCATTAAGAAGCAGTATACTGTTAAAAAATGTGATAAATGGGTAACACCCTACTAATGTTTCTTAATGTTTTTTGAATTATCAAAACTAATACAGTAATATCCTCAACCCTTCATAAAAGTTATCATTGTTGACTCAATATTGTACATCGTTAAAGGAAAATAATAAATGCCTTTGCTTAAAACTCAATCAGTACTGAACGGTGCTTTAGATAAAAAGGTACACTGTGTGTCCTGGTTTGCTGATACCACGATGCTGTTATTTTAAACATCAGTGATTAAATTACATGAGTGCATATTCTTGGAGCTCGATTGCTTGGTCATCAACGTTTAATTAAAGAAAGAGGAATATATAAACTCTGTTTTCAGCATGCGTGCTAACCCTCAGACTGAAACATGACTGAGGGTTTTTAGCGCTTTGTTTTGCATTCAGTGAATCACTTTGTCTGTTCTGTTGGTAGCACTTTATTTTAAGTTCCCTCGTTTCTTTATAATATAAATACTATTAAATTAGAGATGTTAACATTTAGTACACTTCCATTAAATAATAGAGTGTCATATAGTTAGTTTGCAGCGGGTCAGCTTAACATGCAAAAACGTGATTTGTTTTGAAGGCAAGCATACAGTTCCAGTGACTGTGTATAGAGACTTAAGTTTTAAATGATAAACAAACAGTGAATGAATATTTGCTTGGGTTTAAATGGAGTGTTAGATTTTGAAGTTCCTATTTCCCTGTTAATAGTTCCAATTTAGATAGTGCTTTCCATAAAACGTCTATAGATACCATCAAGGAAATGTTTTGAAATTATACATTTTTGAAATAGAGTTTTACCACTTTATCAAAGTTTCTGAAAAGTTGCTTCTAAAATTCAAGTAATGGCAGTCACTGTGGCAGGCCTCAATATGTAACAAAATATGTTTATATAAGTTATACATGGAAGACAAAGAAAAATCTAAAGATATAATGCAATCCAAAACTATAACCCTGCAACAAATATTTTAAATGTTTTGTTGAGACTGAGCCAGAAACTATTCAATCACAAGTTTGTGGCAATGTTGCATTATATTGCATGATATGTTTCTGTTATTTGGGTCTCCCTTTTATGTATAAATCACTAGGCAATTTAGCTTTTTCTTTGTGGAACAACATCACAAACAATCCCTAAGTTTTGTTGATGGTAAACAAAAAAAGCCTTGGCGTCTGCCTTGTTTTCTCCCTGGTTCTAATTGCCCTCAGATAAGCTCTGCTTTGTAAAGAGTTGCTATTTCCATGCCTGGATCTGGCCTGAAAACAGCTGCTCACATTCTGCAGGCTCCTGTGTCTTCTGTTTTTTCCCCATGAGTCCACTTGGCCTCGAGTGTGTCAGCATTCTCTGTCTTTTCTGTCTGACGTCTCCTCGCTGCAGAGTGAACAGGAAGCCGGCTCCTGATGGGATTCATATTAAACCAGTCGGAAACACTGGGATGTTTTGCTAATAGCCATTTCATTGGCAGATTTCACTGAAAAATAGTTTTTTGTTTTGATGATTGTGTCAGGGCTAGATATGTGGTTGGCAGACTAAAAATGTTTATCTACATGTGTCTGTTTGAGAAAAGGGAACATTTAGACATACTCTACAGGCAGAGAAAGGCCCAAAACACATGATATTAATGGTGTCTGTGCCCTGGAAGGGGTTTCCCCCTGTCCCTGTAACAAGACCTGACAACTGGAGCATCCAATGCCTATTTCTAAAAAAATGACAGCCATCTGTCTCAGACATGCATAACAAGCTTTTTCCAGTATTTTACAAAGAGACTCATCAGAGGTATTACAATGTGCTTTTAATGGGATGAGAGCTTATTTGTTCCAATATAACCTCTTCCTTCCTGTTTTCCCACAGAGAAATACAGGAGCTGCAGGAGGCGCCATCCCCAGACGAAAGAATGGAAAAGTGTTTCTAGGTGAATACAAGGCAGTGTTTTGAAATGTGCTCAGATCCTGTATTTAAGTAAAAGTATCAAATCCGTTATGTGAAGTATTCAATCAAGTTAAAATCTCATGTGAAAATGAAACACAGAAGTATTAACATTACATATTTAGACTTTGTCATACTGATAAATGTCACATGTGACTGATATATTATTATATATATGAAATTATTTGACTTTTACACTGATGCATTGATGTGTACATGCGTTATACTGTTGTAGCTGGAGCTAGTTTGAACTAGTTTTATAGATTAAAAGATTGATGTAACCGTTAGATTAAACTGACTGCATGAAAATGATGGAGCCCAAGAAAAGAAGATGTGAAATTATGTTACTCAAAATGTTCCTTATTTAAAAACATTATCTAATTATTGCTGATAAATATTTAAGACTTTTATGTTTTCGGGCCTTTTGAAAAGTTAATTTAATCAAGCCATTTGAGAAGTTTTGGTGGGACAACATACACTGAACAAAAATATAAACGCAACACTTTTGTTTTTGCTCCCATTTTTCATGAGATGAACTCAAAGATCTAAAACATTTTCTATTTACACAAAATAACCATTTATCTCAAATATTGTTCACAAATCTGAAAAAATCTGTGATACTGAGCACTTCTCCTTTGCCGAGATAATCCATCCCACCTCACAGGTGTGGCATATCAAGATGCTGATTAGACAGCATGATTATTGCACAGGTGTGCCTTAGGCTGGCCACAATAAAAGGCCACTCTGAAATGTGCATTTTTGCTTTATTGGGGGGGTCTGAGGGGGTCCGAAAACCAGTCAGTATCTGGTGTGAGGGTTAGGGTTAGGGTTAGGGTTAGGGTTAGGGTAATGTTGTGAATCGAGTGGCCTGTGTTCATCGTCCATAACATACGGCTGCCCATACCATAACCCCACCACCACCATGGGCCACTCGATTCACAACATTACCCTAACCCTAACCCTAACCCTAACCCTAACTCTAACCCTAATCCTAACTCTCACACCAGATACTGACTGGTTTTCGGACCCCCCCAGACCCTCCCAATAAAGCACAACTGCACGATTCAGAGTGGCCTTTTATTGTGGCCAGCCTAAGGCACACCTGTGCAATAATCATGCTGTCTAATCAGCATCTTGATATGCCACACCTGTGAGGTGGGATGGATTATCTCGGCAAAGGAGAAGTGCTCACTATCACAGATTTTTTCAGATTTGTGAACAATATTTGAGAGAAATGGTTATTTTGTGTATGTAGAAAATGTTTTAGATCTTTGAGTTAAAAAAACTAAAACAAAAGTGTTGCGTTTATATTTTTGTTCAATGTACATCTGAAATGTGTCAAGGGCCCAACCGCAGACACTGTTTCCACAAGCCGTTTGACTTGTTTAATGCATCATTTTACATAGATACAAAAAAACAAGTAAAACCTGAAAAGTAAACTTAAAATGTAGTAAAAAGTACAATTTATATCAAGAAATGTTATGTAGAAGCATAAAACTAAGAATTAACTGAAAAGTACTTCAACATTTTAAAACTATGAACCTTGAAATTAATATACTTAGTCAATGTCCACCTCCAATTATGGGCTTCATTAGACCTGGTGTTTTAATATTAGAGTAAATGTGATTGGTGTGGTCAGAAACGCCTCTCTCCGCTCAGAGACCCCCCTCCTTTACAAGCTGCTGTTATTGTTTGTTACACTGTGCTGACCTGCCAGCTGCCCCTCCGGCCGGCCTTTACCCAAAGCGTCAGATATTTCTTCATGATGAGACCTCTCCTCCTCCTCCTCCTCATGTGCTCTAAATATAGCCCATTTATTTGTATTTGTGGTTGGTAACTGTGCTAAATCAAAGCCCTCCTCCCTGACGTGGGGAGGGGCTGGTTGGTTGTCGGACTCTCAGCTGCCACCACCTGTCAGCCCCTCTGACACACTTCCACTGGAGCTGTGACGTGGCTCAGACACGACCAGGTGTCTCTCGCCCAACTCCCTCACTGTTCGCCTGGCGGGGGAGGAATTCCTTCCACTCACCCTCACTGTAATTGATGTTTATGATTTATCATCATCAAAAGTTTAATAGACTTTAATATTTATTGTATTTCGTTGAATACTGTTTATAATAACCCCCTAGCCAAAGTCTGACTTTAGACTCTCGGATCAAAATGTGTCAGGATCTCTACGTATGATTCCTCCTGTCGTCCATTTTGGATGTTTAATGTGACAGCGGGCATGTATGTGTCCGCTGTCATCTCCATACCAGTCCAGTGATCTAATGTAGCTGGTAGCATCAGACGTTAACATGAATCCGGTGGCCACAATAACAGTGTCAGAGATAAGCTATGATCCTGTTTCTCATGAGTCATATCATGACTTTAGGCTGATGTGGAGAACTATGTTTGGAGAGTGATTTAAAGGGGAACACCAACTCAATTAAAAATATATTTCCATTTCAGATATACATTTCAAAATGTCTTTGGGTTTAAGACATTTGGTCGGACAAAAGTCATGTGTCATATCATATTAGGCTTTTGGAAGTCTAATGAACATTTTCACTGTTTTCTGACATTTGAAACCCCAAATGATTAGTTGAACACAATACTTATCAGATTTAAACACAGGGTAAATTGCAAAGAGTAATGTCAGAGATTTGACCCATCCTCAATACCCCTGAATACCTTTATAAATTGCTGGCGATAAGGGTCTGTAATAAAGGGCTAAAAATCGCCTACTTGAATTATGTATGAGCAAAAGAGTCATCAGCTATGTATTGAATCATCTGTGCTTTTATAATAAAGGGTCATTGGTGGTTTTTGTTGTTCAAGGATTCATCTGTTTTCACGAAATAACAATGAAGTAATGTCAATGTTTATTTCCTCCCCTGTAGATTTAGAGCTAAACCGTGAATTTAACGGAGAAGACTTTGAATATGAAGACGAGGCCAAACTTGTCATTTTTCCAGACCACTTCGAGATCCCCTTACCAAATATTGAGGAGTTGCCCGCTCTGGTCAGTGAGTCGGTGCTGCACGGGCTGTCGTGTGTTTCCATGCATGACGATGGTGAGGATGCACTCAGTGGTTCCCCTGAAGCAGGCCAAGCCTATATCCATTTATTTGTTGAGGTTGTAGTGAGAGTTTTCATGGTCACGCATTTAAAACATTACATTTAAGAATATATTCCTGTCCTCTGGTTGCTGTTAGTTCATCAAAAAGTGTTACATGGATAGGTTTTGCCAAGAAAAGATTCTGGGGAACCACTGGATGCAAGTGCTGAACATATTTTGGCTATTTTTTTTTTTTTTCAGTGGATTTGTTGGATTTTGAGCTTTGACATTGGATGGTGATTGATGTTGGCATGTCATGGGGTTTCATTTTGCTTGTCTTTATTTCACGCATGCATCAGTATTTTTACTATCCTTGTTGCTTGGTTTGTTTCTGCACTAAAACTGATTTCCCACACTTGATAATTGCATCGATTCATGTGGCACATCTTTTGCATGTCCACTATTGTCGCAGTATTAAAACTTAAAAGGTTGATATATTTTCATCACACAGTTCCAGAAATTCATTCTGTCTCTACTGTTTCCTGTGACGTTCAGGTCACCATCGCCTGCGACGCAGTGCTCAATGCACCATCGGCTTACAAGAAGCAGGAGCCTGAATCCTGGGATGAGGAGATCCAGGAGTCCAGACATGCCAGGAGCCTCAGACAGCTGGACAATGGGGTCAGGATTCCACCCGGGTAGGTCGGCTACACTTACAGTATACACCACTGTACCATTAAAACAGTTGGCCTTACACTCCTGGGAAGACAGAAATGTTTGCATTTGAGTCAGAATCGGTTTATTACCAGGTAGGCTTACACGTACGAGGAATTTGACTTGGTGTCATTGTGCATACTTAAAAGTAAAACAAGAATTAAAAACACAGATAGAGGAGTAGAAAAATGTTAGAAATAATACAAAATATAGTAAAATGTGTGCAGGTATTCTTTTTTCTTTTGCTGTTTGCCTTGTTTGGGCAAAACATTTTTCAATCTGATCAGTCTTGTGAGCAGAGACTCTTTATTTGACTGCAGGATAAAAAAACAAAAAACAATAACACAAAGGTAACAAGAGTTTCTGTGTGTCCCCCACCCCCAGCGGCTCGAAGTGTCAGAAGTGTGAGATGAGGGAGAACCTGTGGTTGAACCTGACAGATGGAACAGTACTCTGTGGGAAGTGGTTCTTTGATGGGAGCGGGGGAAACGGTCATGCTCTGGAGCACTACAAAGAGACCAAACACCCGCTAGCTGTCAAAATGGACACCATCACACCAGATGGAGCAGGTCTGTCACGTGACATGATTATCTAAACTGCAGAATTATTATATTTATCACAGTTACTGCAAGTTATTACATGGTGTTAGACAGTGCTTTTTTACCTGTTTTACGTTTAGTTAAACCAAAGAAAAGTTTCGTATGATATCACACCAAAATACACACCTTGAGGATAAAAAAGTATCAACACAGTACAGTAGCTCATATTGTGTATTACTGTATTGAAATATGGTCATTTGAAGATGTACTCCAGGCATCCATAACTGTATTTTCATTAGTTAGATTTTGCGGCATCCTGACCAAAAATCTGATCACAAATCATCAACATGAGACAAATAGGATCTTTTTTTACTAACTTTACTGATTTGGTTTCAGATGTGTACTCGTTTGAGGAGGAGGAAGCTGTTTTGGACCCCCACATATCAGACCACTTGTCACACTTTGGAATAGACATACTACAGATGCAGACAAAAGTACGTTTTCTGAACAGTCAAAAAACTAAAACCAAAAGGCGAGAGGTTTCACTCACTCTCTCTTTGTCCCTGCAGACAGAGAACGGTCACCACACAGAGAATAACTCCCGGCCGCGGGTCAGTGAATGGGAGGTGATCCAGGAGTCGGGCATGAAGCTGAAGGCGGTGTTTGGGTCTGGCTACACTGGCATCAAAAACCTGGGCAACAGCTGCTACGTCGGCACGGTGATCCAGGTCCTGTTCAGCATCCCAGACTTCCAGAGGATGTGAGTACACTGTGACGACTTCACTTAAAGGAAAACATGATATTCATTTTGTAGGATTAGAATACTTCAAATGAATTTATCATCTACTTCATTTAGGTGTAGACTTTTTTGTTTACATTATTTATATACTGTATATATTAATTCACAATATCAAAGGCGAACACAACGTGCTCTTATATTATATTTATTTATTTACTACAGCCATGAATACTGTATTGAAACTATAATAGGGAGAGAAAATATGCTCTAAATCAGCTCTCAAACACATTTATCATGTTTTACTTTTCATTAAATATAAAGACGTTCATAATAAGAAAGCACCACATTTATAAAACAGCTGAGGAACAGCCGGAGATGTCTGTCCGCTGATCTTTTGGCTACCACTAAAAATATACGGCTGTTTCTTTAAACACGTCATCAGGTCATTCTTCTGCTCCGTTTTCCGTTCTCGTATTTTTGCCATGATGACTCTAAAAGTGGCATCACATATTATATTCCTTGAAAGGTGCTGTGAACACACCCAGCCCACTGGCTTCCCCTTAAACCATGTGAAGAAATAGGAACCAGTTCATTTTTTTAAACAAAAATTGGATACTCTGTGGTTGTGCCCAACAGAAATGTCCCACTAGCGGCTCCTCTGTGAACTCAAGCCGTGAGAGTGTTGTGTCACATACTGTATGTGTATAAAGGAAAGATTGGTCCCTGGCTAGCGTGTTCTTGAACTAGGGCCATAGGTTTGACAACCCTGACATAAACGCTGCATATAAATAGAAAATAACAACTAATAACAATTTACAAAGCTCCTAAATGAAAGTATTATTGCAGATATTAGGTTAATTGGCAGGTTTAACAGCATGTTCAATGTCTCTTTTGATAATTGACTTTCTAACAACCTGAGAAACCCGACAATTGGCCATATACATTTTTTGGGCCTCTCGGCAGATTCTCTGGTCATCATACTCCTTTTTCGATAGAGTATATCAATCTACAGACAAAATCAATAAGTGAAAATGCAGTTGTAATTTAAAACATACATATGGATATTAAGGACATCCCAATATGACCCGTCATCGTAGTACTTTTTGCAATTTTTTTTTTGGCAATTTAGTAACTTCAAGGTTTATGTAGAGTGTTTCTTAGTCTGTCAATTCACATTTTCGTAATTATTGATGGAAATCTATAGGTAACTGCAGAGTAATAATTGTCTTGAAACTACTTTGATTATTTAAGTAACTAATATGGCCATATGCACAAGGTGTTTCTCAGTGCTACATCAGCCTGTTAACAATGGTCTGAGTCCCATGTGCTCCATCTGAGGTGAGCGTGTGACATGTGTTTTGATCTTTAGGTATGTGGGTAATCTCCAGAGGATATTTGACTATTCACCCCTCGACCCCAGCCAGGACTTCGCCACACAAATGTAAGTGACTCCTCTATACAGTGTTGAAATACACAAAACAAAGGAAGATGTTTGCTTAATGCTGCTTCTGTGTGATGGAAAAAGGCTGAGGTGTTCTCATCAGTAACAAACTTAAAGCCAGTGTGTTGCAAGAGGTCAGTCAGGTGCTGTGGTCAAGATAGGTAAGCAGAGTCTTGGCTTTGCAGGCGATAAATATCAGATTTGTGAAGCAACACACATCTCATTATCTGATCCACACTGCCAGATAAACATTTTTATACCCGTCGCTGTTTATATTCAATAGCCAGTCAGCAGGAATCAGGTCATTCAGAAAAAAAATCTGTCTCCTTATAGGTAGATAGATTTATTATATATTCCTTCCTACTGAAAGCACTGAAGGAGAGTGTTTATTAAATCTTCCTGTTTCTTGGAAAGGTAAAATCATCCTTATTATATTTATAAACTAGCCTGTACTTTTAATACAGATGAGACAACTGTGCACAAACAAGAATGTACTGAAAGACTTTCAGAAAAGTCTCTTCAGATGCGTATGAAATGGGAAGACTTGTAATACTGCATTGATAGCCTTAATATGTAGCTATAATTATGGGAATTGCATCTGATAATGTAATCATCCTAATTTGGCAAATAACAATTGTTTTTATTGAAGCTACACCCAATTTACTTTCCTGTAATAGTTCACAATATTTATATATAATGATTGCAAAAAGTGGCAAACTTGACCAGACATAAGATAGAAAAGGAGTTTTTAATCTCAGTCAGTCAAGAAGAAATAAGAAGAAAGTAAATGTACTTCTTGATATATTTCCGGCTTTCATATTTCTTAATAATATGTATTAAACAACATAAGACTTACATTCATTGTAATATACGATTTTAAAGGTTGGTAATGTTCATTATAATGCATTAAACATAACGTTTCGTTATAGACCGCCAGGAACAAAGATTGATGTTATAATTTAAACATTTCTTCACATTTTAACAAATGTAAATGTGCAAGACTTGGCTAAATTGCTGGTTTCCATCAGCAGGCCCATTTTAAAATAAAAAGTATATGTGATAAAAGCATACACATGCTGTATCTATGAACAATATATGCTGTTTTATAAATAAATAAATCCTTTATTCTATTATGTAAAAGATTAATAATAGGCTGATGTTAGCATTCAGAAAGACAGTAAAACAGGAAGAGGAGCCAGCTTTATGAGACCGAAAAGCTGAGGTTAACAAGTTAGCTCCTGCTTGGTGAAAAGAGGCGCCAGGTATTATACCTGAAGTGTTTTTCAAATTATTTGAATCTGCCTTATAAAGACTTGTGTGCACTCGGGGTCTTCATTTAGACACCTTAACTAAATGATGTTGCCTTTTGTTTTGGTCCGCAGGGCTAAGCTGGGACATGGACTGCTCTCAGGCCTGTACTCCAAACCACCAATGAAATCCGAGCTCATTGAACAGGTGATGAAAGAAGAATACAAGGTATTAAACTTGTCCAGGTCCCAAACTGGGTCCAAAAGCAACAGAAGCATGCTAATACTAAGTGCTAATAGCTAAATTTTCGTCTAATATTTAAACGGTAAGGTTTGGGAAAACTGAGTTTCAGCTTGTCAGTTTGATGCTTTCCCAGTTTAAGCATGAAACCATTTAAAACAAGTTATTAATACATCTGACCTTGATCTGCATTGTGACAGCTCGAAAAAACTAAAGGAAGATATTTAAGATTTCTTGTGCTCAGACCTTTTTTTGTTTTCAGTCTGAAATAGTAGCTGGCTGCTGTACCTAATGTGCACTCACTGCTTTTCATTTTCCTGCTGTGTTAAGTCACAAGTGCTGTGCTTGATTGATCTTCTTGTGCTTCTTGCAATCTCCCAAGTCCTTATTATATTGGCAGCGGGGGAGTGTGGGATAGTGTGGGATGTTTACACCTTGGGTTTATTTATAATCAACTGATTATAAACATCAAAACACACTGTACAAACACAAAAACATGTTCAGTATGCCAAATTACTTTCTGGCTAGGATTTGATAAAAATAATGATATCATTTTCTTTCCAGGACATTTGGTTATCCTTTTACAAAGACTTTGAAGTACATTTACTGAAATACTGTACTTAAGTGCCATTTGGAGGTACTTCATATGTTTCATTGTACTTTTTATGCTACTTTGTATATCTATTCGACATCCTCTGCATCTTTTGTATTACTTTAGTTACTAGTTACTTTGCATATTCAAATTACTGTATTTATACAAAATATAAACCAACTATATGATTATAGGTTAAACTACTCAGCGTTAAAGTGTAAAATATATATTGGATTCACAAGTAGCTATCCTGTAGAGAGCCTAGAGTGGCAGGCCACCAGATGTTGCCTTCAGTGTGCTTCTGTAATTTTCACCTCTGGTGTGCTGTCTTGTCTTACACTTAACTGTTAAACAGGTAAGTGCTACTGTACAGTCAGTGTTTGTGATGCCCACATGTTGTCGTTGCAGCACCAGCAGAAGGGCGTCTCCCCCCGGATGATGAAGTCTCTAATCAGCAGGGGACACCCAGAGTTTTCCTCTACGAGACAACAAGACGCCCAGGAGTTCCTCCTGCATGTCATCAGCATGGTGGAGGTGAGTGGAGCACAAACTTATGTGAATGTCAAAATATTTAAAACGCACAACGGCTCATTGTAAATAAGCAGAAACATTAGCTTCGGTTTACGTTGAGAGCTCAGGTTGGTACGTATAATAAGATGACCATTCATACCTTAAGTGCATGTGTGGATAGAGAAATAATATTACATTTAAATATATTATATATACATTCTTTTTAAGCTTACTATGAAAGTAATTATTTTCTCTGTCAATAGTTTTTAACTGCAGTATTTGGATGTTAATAGTCTCCTCATGATTGCGGTGACCTCCTGACCTTTCATGTTCTTTTCACCAAGTCAAATTTCCCTGTAAACTAAAATGATGCTTTGTCAAGGTGTCTTTTAAAAAAAACATGTGATATGAGAACCTTAGGGGACATGTGGAAATATTGTTGAATATTTCAAAAGCGAGATAATTTGAGATAAACGAATGTTAAAGTGAACTTCTATCACATCCGGTCACAATGTTATTGGTAGAGTATCCCAGTTAACGCGTCAAACGCACGGCAGAAAGGGATGCTGCCTCTCTCCTTAATTGCTCCATTATACCCTAAATCTACACTGTGAAATCATAAAACTTTTACAAAATGGCCGATTACATCTGACCCCTGACACACATGGGCAGGCAGTTGATATAGAGGGGGGGTCTGTTTTTGACTGGACACAGCACACCGTCTCTTTGGTCGGTACGAACACATGCAGTGCTCTGACGCGACTTTCTCAACCTGGATATATATAGCTCAGTGCTATCTGTTACACAGGGGGCCAGATAATGCTTCCTATTCTGCCTGAGATACGTGCCCTGACTTGGACCCAACACTTCCTCAACTTCAAGTTGTGAAGATCAGCAACATACCACCTAGATTTGCTAAGTTCTGATTCCTCCATCTTTGCCCCAATATCTGTAGAAAGCTGCAGCTAAAGTGTTTGAACTTAGTTTGTGTAGAAAATGCTGTAACTATCCTCCCCTTCTTGCCTCTACAGCTGTTTTAAACTAAACACAGATTTAGTTATCCAGACATGGCTAACGTGACCCAAGCCACCACCATCAGCAACATTTCCCTCTGTCTATGTCAGTCTGCATACTTGTCACTTGTAAAATTATAACTTGAGTATTTCTGTAGCCTCTTAGAATAGAAGGGCTGGGTTGCAACTTTAATGACCCCTGCTGTTCATGAGCAGTGAGGAGACACAGAGCCGCTCAGTGATAATGATAAATGTGCCTGGGAATCTAAAAACATGTATTGCTCGGTTATGGAAAGCACGGTTAGTTGAGACGGTTCCTAAATGAAAGAGTTGCATTTACATTATAAATGACTTTATTAAGAGATGTCAAACCGCAGTTAGGGTTAAAGTCTTTCCAGGAGACTTATAGACAAAACAAAGAATAGATAGTTGCATTTTAAACCATGTCTCTGGGGACATGTTCATATTTGATTTGAAGCCTTCTGCACAGCTCTTATGCAGACATGCAGTATTTGAAATAAACAGTAGATTTGACTTGAAACTGCAAAAAAAAAAACAGAATTGTCAGACATTACTCTAAACGTTATTTGTAACAGCGTCTAGACCACAAAATGCTAAACCCTTTTGGGCTAATGAAGTTTATATGAGATTATTGGTGCATTTGGTAGCATAGCAAACGATACAATTACAATCTGAGAGGCAGGTGGGACACATGACTGCTTAACTGCCATTAGGATTGCATTGGGTTGTTTTAAAATAAGAAATGACTTGATGAATAAATAAACTGTTCTTCACCAATACTTATTGTTTTTTATCAATGTGAAACATGTGTAATCTGATTGACTTGTTTCGTTATTGATATTTATACTTGTCTGCTCATTGTCCATCCTCATTGTTGTCTCACAGAGGAACAGCGCAGGCTCGGAGAATCCAAGCGACGCCTTCCGCTTCCTGGTGGAGGAGCGAATCCAGTGCTGCCAGTCTCGTCGGGTCCGTTACAATCAGCGGGTCGACTACTGCATCCAGCTGCCAGCTCCCTTTGAGGCGGCCACCAATCGAGGTAAAGGAGCCCCCGTACACACAAAATGTCCCGCAGCAGCGGGGGCCCACAGCTGCCTCGGGTCGATCCAGCTGGCAGGACGCTGGTCTCAGGTGGCTCCAGCCGCTGGAGCTCAGCAGCTCCTCCTCTGAAAGGGCACAGAAGGTCAGGGCCGCCAGACTGGGAGGTTCAGAGTGAGGGGGGGACATTAGGGGTGTCAATGTTTGGGTATCTAATGATTTTATGTGATTTTTATTCTTGGTATAACCATTTGATTTATAATGCATTTTAAATTCAGTACATAGGAGTGGCAATTTCAGGAAATTCCTCCTTTCTGCTGTGCATTAGTCAAGGTTGTGTGCAAATTATACAATTGAAGCAGTGTAAAGTGTGTATGAGATTATAAAGCTTTTGTATTTGAGAACATTATCAGTATCAGAACCTAGGTTCTTTAAAAAAAAAGATGTAGATTGATTTCTGTTTGTGAAACGCTTGAGAAAAATATGAAAATCTCATAAACACATGAATCCATATTTTCTGTACTCCTATAAGACGTGTTTGACAGTCAAAGTGAATGCTTGTGGTCTTGTATAATCCTCAACAACTTAAATAATGTATTGATATTTGAATGGATCCTTTATCTTGAATCAAATCAGATTTTCTTTTAAATAAAAAATATTAGTGAGTATTGGAGTTGTAATTGATTATTAGCATTAGCACAGCTCAAATTGTCTGTTTTTGCTGTGTTCCTACCAGAGGAGCTGCTGGCATACGGGGCCAAGCGAATGGAAGCAGAGGAGAACATGCGGGCTCCTCCTGAGCCGGTTCGAGCCCGGATCCCCTTCACCGCCTGCCTGCAGGCCTTCACAGAGCCAGACAACGTCCCCGACTTCTGGAGCTCAGCGCTGCAGGCCAAGTCAGCTGGAGTCAAGTAAGCTAAGGGCTACCTGTTCCTAGGCTCACATCTTTGAATTAAATTGTATTTGTAATATTTGTTTCACTTTGCATCTCCTCTGCAGAACTTCCCGTTTTGCCACCTTCCCTGAGTATCTGATTTTGCAGATTAAGAAATTCACATTTGGGGTTGACTGGGTGCCGAAGAAAATAGGTAACTATTTGCCACCCCCCCTAAACTGTCTTTTACTAGATGCCCCCAGTGCTGTAACTCGGTTATTATAAGTATTTGTATAGTGCTATAATTGTCCAGCAGAGGGCATCATCAATCAGCAATTCACAAGGCACATACAGTAGATTCTAGAAGGTGAAACTGCACTGTAAACTAATGAATGGTTCCCCTGCAACACATAAACACACCACACATCTCTTATGATCAAGTTACTTACATATGTTTTCCCTCAACTGTGAGATATGTTTAAAAAATCATTGCTGTAAGAGCAATTTGTAAATGTATTTTGAGATGTTTTATTTGATGTATCCTTTGTAATTCTACGGATGCTTTCAGAAATTCAGAACTACAGTTTCAGGAGGCTCTGATTACTGTTTTTGGGATGCATTGCTCAGTTAGGTTGTATTTGCTTGTTCCTGCACAGATGTGGCCATTGATGTCCCAGACTTTCTGGATTTGAGTCGGATGCGAGCCACCGGGCTGCAGGCCGGTGAACAGGAGCTGCCTGACCTCCTGCCTCCCATCGTGCTAGCTGAAGACACCAGAAGTACAGAACAACTTCATTTTATGCACCTGTGTGTGTGGGTGTGTGTGTGCATGTGTGTGTATGTGTTAATACAGCACACTTAGGTGGTTTTACAAGGCATAACACCTTGATAAGACCTATAATTAAATTAGGAACCTTCACATTTTGCTCTTTAATCATTCTATGGTCCTTTTGCAAATCCTGTAACCTCTAGTGTGAGTTTTTGGTGCCGTTTAATATATATACATTTCTGTTTTTAAATCAAAATGCTCCATTAACCTAACCCAGAATCCACTGACAATGATCCCCTGGTCACAAGCTATGACTCACCTACCATGTCCTACAGGGATATATTTGCATTCATGCGTGGCTACTAAAAACAGCAAACAGCGCTCTCAACTACTGCGGGCACTTTTGGCCCTTTATGTTCAATTTCACAGTCCTTTTTATTCCTTTTAAAGGGCATTGTTTTCTCCAAGTGACTGTTTTTTGTCCCCAGATAACCACACATATTGTGCCCACTCTATTATATGCATGAGTATACAGAATATCAAACACATCGTCAATATATGAGACAGCATAAATCCGATTTGCCATGTGGAAATGCAGTGTTGCTTTGAGAACTACACTACAGATGTGTGTTGTTCCAAAGCTGCTGCCTAGCACCCTTTTCATAAGGTGTAAGGTATTTTTGTGACAGAGACAAATGATCCGTGAAATTGACTCTAATATGATGTTCTGCTCAAAGCCACTCAGGTTTTATTTTAAGGCCATATTGAATGGAATCCTTCGGGAAGGCATGCTCAATCAATTACTGAAAAGTTGTTGTGTTCACAGTGTGGCTAAGTCTAATAAGTTATAATGATTTTATAAGATCACCTTGTAATGCACTTCCTCAGGCTCTGGGAATAACCTACTAGAAGCTACTGTGCATTTTAAATCCCAAGCAGTATTGTTGTTACTTACATTTGTTAGTTTGTTACATCATACTGTTTGTTTATTGATATTTCCAGCATTACATACTTCAGCCTTTTTGTCTGCCTCTCTTCCTAACGACAAAAACGTGTCTCTTCTATGATTGTCATTCCTGTGCGCCTCCTTCGGTTGTTTGCAAAGTTCAGCTACATCAAGTTATCAGTGTCCTCCTTAATATTTTAGCAGGCGTGAAGCACAAAGTGTTCTGTGACATCTCCAGCTGCAACACCCAAAAAACGGGTCCTGAGCCAAAAACTGGGTAACATCAGCAAGAAGCCTTTGTGTGCTTCACACATTGACAGACTCTGGAGCTTTGACTTCTCAGAGCTTTACAGAATCGTTTAGCCGGCTGCTTCTTAGGCCGGGAAACTCAGAAAGACTCCGAGCATGTTTTTCTGAGTATGCCTTAATATTTCAGTACTGAACATTATGTGCTGTAGGCCTACCTGTTATCTCCAATCTACAAAGACATGAAATTGGCTTCTTGGAAGAGTGGAGTATTTGCTTAAAACTCTTCAGAGTGCTGCCCATTAAGGACTTTAGAGCTGAAACTACTTTGCTTAGGCAGCATTGCATATCTACGCCCAACAGCAGCAAGCTATGCAGCTATTTTAGCAGGCCACAGTGAAAGCGATTCATAAAAATAAGTGTAAATGTTGTTTGGATGTAGTAAGTTTGAGTCATTTCAGTCAGAGCTTCCTTTCTTATTTCCTAGAGGTACCAGTTTAGAAATGATGCTGTTTGAACTGTGAAACTAAATGAGGTCGATGAGGTCGATGTGCTGTTTACGAAGCATTTTCAGATTTTATTTATGTCACATTTATATGATGGGTTTTCTTGGTTGCAAATGAACCACTGGTCCATTATCCCCCAGCTGGCATCAGCAGTGATTAATCATTGGCCACCCCTCTGCCTCCAAAAGGCTTCAGTGCTCCTCATTGATTACACAGCACCGAACAAATCGTCTTTTCTGGAAGACCCACATTACTTCTCATTGGCTGGTGTATCATCCACCACTCACTCAATTATTCCAGACTATTAAGGAAATGGAATACAAAAAAGTATCGTTTGATTATATTTTTTCATTTTACAGCACAAAAATAAACAATTACAAAGTGCTCACATACATTATAGAAATTGATTTCTGGCTATGGTTATAATCTGATTGTTTTCTACAAGATTAAACTGCAACACTCAGGCACTTTTCAATTTCAAATACCCACGAGGCATTTAAAATGAAGAATGATCTGTTTCATAATTGTATAACAAAAAAATGAGAGGAAGCAACACCATGACTAAAAACTGTAATTTACTTTATAAAACTATCAGATGAAGATGATATGAAATATTAGAGAAGAGCCAGGACGTGGATTTTATTCTGTTTTAAGGAAAACAGGGGTCGCTGAAGTTGTGAAAAGTATGGGTTCCCGCCAAAAATATTTTCTTAGCCTATCTTGTATCGAACTTGAATAGTAAAGGGGTGTTCTTATATAATTATTTTATAATTGAACACCAGAAGCCCACATTTGTGCCCACATGTGACAAATATTAATGTTAAAACTTACTATAACAAAGGAAAAGTAAACAGTCAGCCAAAAGCTTCAGCAGTGTGCATTTTACAGAAGTATCATACGTTTGTTTACATTTGCTACAAAAAGCTAATGGCCATATTAGAACAAATAAGGTGGAAGCAGCAAAACTCCTGAGTGTATTGAATTAAGTTGGGGTCAGTCAGACCGGGGCGTTAATTGGTCGACAGCAGCTCATTATTTGCCTTGGGGCCTGTTAGCAGATAATTGTGTCCATGGTGTAAGATTGCCTTGAGTTTTTTTTCAGCCTAGTCTTGAGTGAGGATTTAAAAATGTATATAACAGCCACAGATCATGTAAACAAAGAAACCTCAAAGATAAATCTAAAGAACACAAAAATAAAAAGTTTGTGTTTGGGATTTGCATTTTTAGTTTCAGCCCATCCCTTCGCTCAGTGTGATCGACTACATCAGTTGTCCTTTTCAGAGTCTTCATCACTCTGTTGGCTACCTGAACAATCACTAATCCCACTTTTCTTACATCTGTGATTTTTGACAGATGTGTAAGAACTCTCTATGTTTACATGATGTTAGGGTTAGTCAGGTAAAAGTACACAAAATAACATACAAGCAAAAGAAAACTCAGAACAACCAGAGATAGTGTGTGATCTCATTGTGTGCACTCACCTGAACTAAGTTTCCTCTTCTGTTTCAGATAACTCCATGGGCTCTGCAGACTGTGAGTATTTTATTTCCTTATACCAGATTTATGTTTCTTTGTATCTGAATGTGCAACGTTTCTAAAAGATATATTGCCATGTAGAAATGTATTTTGGGAACCAAGTAATGCTGATGAATGCTATGTAGCGAAACCTTGCACAACATACACTCGAGCAGGTGCAGCAGCTGTTCTCTACTTCCAAACAAACTTTACTTTTCTTCATGGCTTCGTTTGCTTCAGCCAGACTAATTTCTCCTTTTGATAAATAACCCATCAATAAGAAAAGTCCCCTGGGCTGATTCTCCTCTGGCCTCTTTGTTTAATGAGGCCCAAAGAGAGAACCATCGCATATCTGTTTGGTGGTTGAATCTGAAAGGTGAACGGCGATGTTGAATCAGCAACTGCTTTGTTTTTAGTTATTGATGTCAGTTTGTCGTGTCCCCAGCTCCAGAAATAGACGAGGCGGCAGCAATGCAGCTGGCAGAGATGGGCTTCCCGGTGGAGGCGTGCAGGAAGGCGGTCTACTACACGGGCAACATGGGCCCCGAGATGGCCTTCAACTGGATCATAGCCCACATGGAGGAGCCTGGTAAGGAACCTCACTGCATTCAAATAACAAATCAACAGACACAAATGTTTATATTTGAGCTCAAAGCCTTTATCGGCATATTAGTTAAAAAGCACATACAGTAGGAGTGCACAACCCAAACCACTGAATCTGCACCTAAAGTAATAGTTTTACTGGAAGCTGAAAGTCGAGCAAGTCACTGAATCCAAATCCAATCTTCAGGCATAAGACGCTAACACCATGTTGAACTGGATGGCTTGTACAGTGAAAAGTTATTTGAACATCTTTTATGCTTTAGTAGACGAGGCTCTTTGTCTTTTTCTTACTCTGTATCTTGGGTTTAGAACCAGGCAAAATTATGAAAACAACATATTACAAATATAGAGATATGGACAGTCACACCAAAAGAAAGGCAAATGAAGCAGAAGTCAACAAGTTCTTAACAGTTAAAAGTAGGATTTTTTTTTTTGGCATCTAGCATTGTGGTTACAGAATGCATCAAACTGAATACCATTCTGCTCACCCATCCCTTTACAAATCTGCGATTATGAGCCTCAGAGAGTAAAAAAGAATGAATTCCGTGGTGTATTTCACAAACTTAGCCTCACTGAGAGGCAATCCTTTCCATAAAACTATTTTAGAAACAATGAAATGTATTCAGCAGCATGTGTTCCTGCAGTTTTACAAGCATCTCTGAGATTTAGGGTGGCCTTCAGGTAACATAAAACAATGCGAAAGGTCCTCTAGAGAGCAGTGTTTGATTGGTCATTTCTGAGCTAGGCTACTTAGATATGAAGGGCACATTCTCAACTTACTAAAACACTACGTTTCAGGTGATTTATATTTGAATGAAATCATGTTGTATTACATTTCTGCAAATTGATCCCCCTCAATACTACACACTGGCCCTTTACTTTAGATTACAATGTGATGTGTTTACAGATAACATTAAAGATGATCCCTACAGAGCTTAGACTCAAGTGTTGGCATGATTCAGAAAGGTCTACATATATCTGAGCTTAAGTTGCTGCATTGCTGACCTCAACCACTGAGTGTAACATGGGGGTATTTGATGGCTTAACAAAGGTTGTAACTGTATCTGGCTACAGTTATGGAGCTATTGTCCGCTGATATCTAGAATATTATAGTCAGTCTCAATTGACACTAAAAATATGGTGCCATCCTGCCTTTAAAGAATTCTGGAAGTAACTAATGTACAAATTCATGGTAAGGGGCTAATAGTTAAAAATATTCAGAACCAAATAATGATGGCAAAAAATAGGACGTGTGTTAAGTGGGTGTGGAGGGGTACCCAAAAAGACCCAACCCATAACAAGAAGAGAAGTTGCACTGAAGAGACACAATGTCATTATCAGCTTTGAGTCCACAGACGTCAAAGGGGAAGAGATATCAACAATAAATGAGGAAAAGACACGGACATGCTGCTTCACAAAGTAACACAATGGTCGCTTCTGAAAGCCAGTCACCTCATGTAAAGCTTGTGTTGCATTATTTTTTTTCTGCAAAAAGGCCATGCCTATGCAAACCTGCCAAAAACCTTTCTGCAGAAAGTAAAGAAAGCAGAGGCATGTTTATTTGTATGGGACCTTTTTTAAGCCCAAGGGTAATTCAAAGTGAGCGATTATGTCCCATATCCCCTTCTACCATTACGTTGTTTTTGCAAGTGTCAGACTTTGCATTCCTTTGTGTACCGCAGTGTATCGCTGCCAGTATGTGTGTGTGTGTGTGTGTGTGTGTAAGATTATCACTAAAAAAGTTTTTAGGAGCTGACTTTGTCTCTTATAGAGGCTCTGAGCAGCAGAGACGCTCCCAAAGGTGCCAACTCGTGTCACTTTTATTTCCCTGGTTGGCTGTAAAGGGCCTCTACAGTGGAGAGAAATTAGAGCAGCCCTTAGAGCAGCACTAACTCTGCTGTTAGTTTTTAAATGGGCCTAATGGATCTGCAGAATGGGCTGCATTCAAGCTCAATAACCTCAGTAAAACGCTGCAATTTTCCCCTAATCATTTTAGATGATTTCTCTTTGAATGAGGTGAACCTGAGAGGGATGCATTTACAAAGATAAACTTTCTTTATATAACGAAGCATTTCCAAAGCACTTTGCTGGCAAGGCAACTTATAATTATTATTCTTATTTATCATATTTTTGAGTAATTGTGGTAATAAAATGAACTTCAGTCTTATTGAGCAGGGACGTAGTTTATATGAACCTCATGAATGTTTTTAAAGGCTGATATGAGATCTAAATAAACATTGAAACTGTCAGAGTTGCTGTTAGAGGTTAAATAATAACCAATTTAAGCAAAAGTTGAACTTGACACACAAACATGAGTTGTTAAATTGTGTCTGTAATTGATCTGCCTGCAAAAGAGCCTTCTTCCCATACCATAAAAAAAAACTAACACGGGTAATTGAAAGGAGAAGGAGGCTGAGATGGAGACAGGAGTGGAAGATAAGTCCCTTCACATTTTTATTTATGGCAAGTGCGATAATGAAAGCTCTGTTTATGGCCAACCGTCAAGTAAGTGTCCTTAAGGTTCACTTTCCTTCGATCACATTGCAGTTCTTTTGAAAGTTAGGGGAACAAATGTGATTCTCTAATGTATTTTATGCAGAGGCTATGAATGTTTACAAAAACCTTGTCACAGCTCGAATGAGGATTCTTTTTTTTTAAGAATACAATATTGCTTCTTTTTTGTTGTTGAACAAAAGTAATATCACAGATCTGTTTTTCAGCTTTCCAGATGTTTTGTGACTAATACTCACTTGATCATCTATGTTCAGAAACATTGATTTATAAAGTTGAAAATAAATGTTACTTTTTCCAAGTTTCTCATGAAATTGCACTTCTGTACTTAACTGTGAGAGTGTAACTTTACTTGCCGAAGGGAAGCAGAAGAAAGAAGTCTCAAATCTGGAACTTTGACCTCTAACACAAATATATTCATATATTGGCTTTAATAAAAGAAGAACTACAGCATCTCATCCTCATTCTGTCTCTTTCTCTCTTTCCTCAGACTTTGCAGAGCCGCTCACTCTGCCCTCCATGATAGATTTCGGTCCCTCCAGCAGCGACAGCCCCTTGGGCGCCCCCCCGCTGGGAAACTCGCCCCCTGAGGAGAGCATCGCCATCCTCACCTCGATGGGCTTCCCCCGCACTCACAGCATCCAGGCACTCAAAGCCACGGTCAGTCTTCTGCCCACTCTGATTGCACTTTCTGAAAAAATAACAAATAAATCACTTTTTTTCCCCATTAGCTGGCATCAATACCTCTTTTCCAGGCATATTCTTTCCCTGCCAGATCATTCAAATGAGTCTTAATCCCCAGAGTAGTTTATTTATTAACATGAGTTTATGAGTTTCAGAATTTCGCTGCTGCAAACACCTCCGGTCTAATCTCTCCGATGCTGTGATTTTTGGTAACATCGATTTGTTTTAAATGACCTGAACAGGGAGGGGAGCTATTGTGCTGTGATGGTCAGCTTGCATGAGCTCACAAAGTAAACAGCACTTCCTTAAAGCCAGACTTCTTTAGGTGGAGCTCAGTCCTTAGTCTATGACTCACAGAGACAATAAAGAGTTATATAGAAGACAAAAAGCAAGTTAAGAGACATTCTGAGGACAGAGAACCGCCCACACAGTAAGAGAAGTGCAGAAACACAACAGCAACAACAACGGCCTGACAGTCACCACAGATGGATTAGGAACGTCCTGCTCAATACAAAGAAAAGTGTCACCAGTTCAGTTCAAGGAAAGAGGTTGGAAGTGAGGTGTTGTTTGAAGAGAGGTCGAGATGATGAAGACCAAGATCTGTCACTCATAAACGAGCTTGGCTGGCCTCGTTAATTTAATAGGTCTTACATGTCCGAGGGGATTATAGTCGCCTGCTCTACATGGTGTTTACAAATAGTCCCATCAGCATATGGACGCTAATGCATCCCTTTGAAACAGGATCTGCCTCAAAGACACGTCGAGACATTTCATCATCACATCTCATTAGTTCATGTTGAAGTTTTTGTGTGTGCATCAAAGGAAATGCAAATGCATTATCGCCCCTGTTTTGACATGGCCCCTTGATTCTCCTGTTTCATGCTTCATATTCCAAACGGCCCCCTCAACAGAAACACCACAGCAGACTGTTATTGAGGCACAGAAATAGACACCAGGCTTCCTTGTTTACTATCCCTAATAACACCAAACTCACTGCCTTCCACAAAAATAAAGAACATATATTTCTCACGAGGAGGCTGGAGGTGTGAAATATTAGTCCAAATGTAGGTGAGGAGTATTTTCTTCTACCTTGAGTGGAAGAAAAAAAAGCATGCGGCTTCATTTGCGACATTCTCCGGGAATCACACCTCTATTTTGGATTAAAAGCAAAAGAGCTCAAGGGGAATTAAGCACGGATGGATACCTGCAACCTCCCCACTAAATGATTTCTCATGTTCATTGTTGCCTTTTTATTGATTAGCTACTTTAAGATACAACAGCGACAGAATAAAAGACGGATAGTAAGAATATTAACTTTTCTTTCTAACACATTGAGTGCTGATATTTCCTGTTACTACCTTTTTTTATTTTGCTCCAGATATTACCAGGAAAAGGCAACTTCCTCTTACAGTCCATTTCCAAAACTACAAATGTAATGGATTTTGTAAGCTGCTAAAACAAATGTTGTCGCACTGACCCATCTGAAAACGGCAAACATCTGTACTAAACATACTGGTGTTATGTAGCAATTTTGCTTTTGAATTACAATAAACTCCCAAAGTAAAACTGGAAAATTGTTTTTTCAGAATAATAATCTCGAGCGAGCACTCGACTGGATCTTCATCCACCCTGAGGAAGAGGAGAGTGATGTCCTCTCAGACATGGCTGACACGGAGCCAAACGACAACGGCTTCTCCAACTCCAACTCACACAGCAACTCCACGATGTCTCCGGACCGAGAGGCGGCGGGCCCCCGGGTCAAAGACGGACCGGGACGTGAGTGACTTTGTCTTGACTTTATTTGTTATTGATTCTTATCTAAAGGCACATCAATGTCAGAGGTTAATTTTAAGCTTACTATGTTGGTGTAGAATTAAAATAGTTATATAGAAGGAAGAAGAAGAGTTGTATAGTTTGCTTGGTATTTGGGACAGTCATCCATTTAGTCAGCATTTAGCATATTCACTTACAAGACAAAGACCTGCGTTACAATGAAATTAAAATGGCGTCAGGGTCCATAAAAAGTGTCAGAGGGCGTGTTCGACCTCTTGACTTTTTATTTCACCTGGGTGTTTTATAACTGGCCAGTTTTCCATTAGCTCCAATTAATGTGGATTCTGACACAACGTGTATTGTAGTGCTGCATGGCACTGAGATCATCTGCCAGACTGAAGGCACACAAATATTGCTCACGCTCTTCATAAAGAAAATGTGTTCAATGTTATAATGCATCTACAAACTAGCATACCAATGGTGTTTTAATAACTAACACCAAAAATTGGTAGTGAGAATTATAATCGTTTTTTTGTTAATGACGACATGCTGTCCCATTCTAATCATTGTTTATTAATTTGTTTCACTTTAAATCGAGCACTTTGTGAACTTTCCTTACAGGATGCTCGTGCAACAGAAGCAAAGGAATAACACACACCCTATTCTGGAAAATCTGCAAAAACAAATCATTTATATCATTATAAATATACCTGAATGTTTGAACTTTTTGATCATTCTTATGCTGCCAATGAAGGCATTGTCATCAGCAACAGCGTCTTTAAACCTGATGATACCTGGTGTTTACATGTCCTTCTACTGAAGCTTTTTATATAAAGTGGTTGCGTACAGTTTGTATTTAAAAGACTGTTGTATTTTCTAATTAAATAGAAAATTCTTCTTTTTATGTTTCTCTTTCCAGGTTATGAGCTCTTTGCTTTCATCAGTCACATGGGAGCGTCCACAATGTCCGGACATTATGTTTGTCACATCAAGAAGGAAGGAAGGTGGGTCAAAGACATTTTTCTCTACTTTATATTCATAAAATACACAGTGGTAGAGAAACTGACAGCACTTTGTTGATCACTATGAGGGACTTTCCAGTTATAGTCATTCAAATGTCTGATTTGAATTGCCTTAATGTGTTTCCATCTCAGGAAATACATTTTCCCAAGAAATTCAATTATCATTACCAGTTTTATTATTAACTTAATGCCCACCAGAAGTAGAACATTAATTATTCCAAAACACAGGTACACTGTATTTGTTTTAATGAAAGGAAATTGTAAATTGACACATTCCTCTGTCCTCCTAGCTTTGAGAGATGTGACACTTTAAAAGCTTTTTCTCACTCCACAAATGTTCTTTCTTCCTGAAGGTGGGTGATCTACAACGACCACAAAGTGTGTTTGTCAGAAAGGCCTCCAAAAGACTTGGGCTACATCTACTTTTACCATCGACTGTCAAGCAGTTAAACTAAAGATACCGTCCCCCCCTAACCCCCTCCACCATGCAACCTTTTAGAGAACCGCAGTCTTTCCGCCCCGAAGACTGGCAGACAACTTTAATAACAGCCGCAGTGAAAACGATGGAAATAACCTCTCAGACCAGCTGCTCGCCTTACCGTGACGTCGTGCCGGAGCAACCAGGAACCCCGCTCAGAAAGGGAAAGCAATGTGCTTTTTGTGCATTTGTGTTTTGTTATGCTTTAAATGTATATATTCAGTGTGTATGTTAAAGAAAATACATTTTCTTAACGGTGTAGGAGCAGAGGGATGTGTGCAATGTCCACTTCTCTACACAAAATAATGTCACATGTCAAATACCATTGTTCCTCCTCTATGCCTTTAGCTACAGTGCCAGTATTTTCAAAGTGGTACATTTTATAAATGTATATTGAAATGGCTTCACTGCCAGCCCTGAAATGCTCTGAAACGGCAACAACAAACAAGAAATTCTGCTGCTGGTTCTTTGCATTTTGTAATGCCTTTCATCCCTAGGAAATTGAAAGGACATTTCAAGAATTCATATCTTTTGGTTGGATACTGAAAGAAGTTACAAACACAGTGAATGTTCGTACTGTAGAGCACTGAGAAGGTTGTGCTCAAGTGTCAACTAAACTGTAGCCATACAGTATGAGTGGTTAAATAATGGCTCAAACCTGTCTCGAGCTCTACTGAGAGATTACATGCAAGTTTTTCTATTTTAATGAGAAACATTTAAAGGTAAACTGGCTAAGAACTGAAAGCACTTTTTAATTAAAACAAGTTAAATTAGCTAAAAGCAATTGAATGTGATAACTCCAATTTAAACTTCAGTTCTGCAATGCTGTCCTTTTTCTAAGATCTATATCAAATCAAGAGTGATTGAAACGTCATTTATTAGTTTGCCCAAATTACAAGAATGTTAGACAACTTTTAATCTCAGCTGCGCCAGTTTATTCCGTTATCACTGACACAAACGTTTAAATGAATGTTTTGTTCACCTTTTGCCACTTTTCAAATGATTGGCTGATTCACTTAATTATGCAACTACAACCAAATCTGCTCTTGAAACCACCCAAAGCCGTGCGGTACAGATGTGCTGCGGTGCCGAATGTATGACTCGATGGGGCTCACTGCAACCAAAACCTCCTGTTCAGCTGAAACTCAACCGTTTGGTCTCTACAAATAACCTCATGCTGGATTATCTACTGACACGATGCTCATCTCATTTTTATACTCAGTGCCGGACAAACGTAGTCGATATGATGTGATTATTTGCCAAAGGCAGCCTCTGACTGAATCTGGTTTCATCTGTTGCATCTCAAAAAGGCAGTGTTGGTATTTTGTCTCATGGGACAAATCCAGTTTGGTGAGCTTGCATGCAGTGAATTAAATTGAGCAGCCATCGAATGCTGTTCATCCAATGGCTGCATTTTGGGTCGATATTTTAAAGGGGAGTTCTGCTTTAAAATAGACTTCTCGAATGTGACATTATTGTGTTGATGTCTTTTAGATATTTCTATTTTTAATTGTCATTATCTCTCATATCCAAGAAGACGGCAATTATTTGACAATGAAAAGACATTTCCAAATGTCATTTTAACTGCATATCTCATGAACATCGAAAAAGTGGAAAATAGCTAGGTGATATTATTATAGTGTTCAAAATGTCTTTCAACAATCTAAGTTAATGCTTTCTATGACCAGTCATTGCAGTATTTCCTTGATAACTGATCACTTTCAGATAACATTTTATGAATAAATCCATATTTTGGCAGTACTTCCCTTTTTAAAAACACAGTGCCTAGATTGCTCTGGAATTGAGTTGTATTCTATCTCAACCTCTCATTTTCATCAGATAGTTGTAGCAGGGAATTGTAATAGTTCTCTCTGCAAGTCTTTTGTTTCTGCCGTTGTTCTTCTAAGAATTATTTGTTTTTGTTTTCAAAAAACAAAATGTGTTGTGTCACACCCTGCTCTGGAATCCGTGACTCTGCTCTTCATCATTGGATAATAATCTTGCTGTATGAAGTACAGTCACAAAAACGTCTACAGGTATTCTGTGCAATTTATTTTCTTTGTCTTTGTATTTTTTTAGTTTTTGTTTCAGCTTTCCCTCCAGCTTGGTCTGTTTCCATTTGTTTTCCTATGTTGTTAAAACGGTTCCATTTTTAACAAAAAGGCTTTTTCACTGTCAGCATGTGCACTAGACGTTGACATTTAGTCATTTGGATTGGACAATTGTACTTTTGTGGGTTGTATTCTAATTTTTTCATTTAACTAAATGTCAAAAAAGGTTCCTCATTTGTTTCACTCTGTTGCCTTTTTGCAAACAAGTTTGTGCCAATTTTGTAGTTTTCATTACATAGATTTCCTGATGGGATTATTTTAAGTTGACTTTTGTAATGTATGCTTTCATCCAAATGTGGCTTAGTTGTATGTGAATAGAGCCATCACAGTATTCTCAGTGGCACTGTTTACCTACGATGTTTGGATAATTTAATAAACTACACTTTTGTTGAGACTTTGCCTCCGTAACAATGATCAAGAAACTCCAATTCCAGAGTTTTCATTGAAAAAATAAAGACACGTGAACATAGAATATATAACAACAGTTTATTTTAAAAGTTGACTTTCATATTGTAGGTTTCAAAGGTGCTAATGCTTTCTTGTGATTATACCGGGATAGTAATATGCATTATAGTAGGTGTTTCAATAAGTAATCCATACTGTATATAAAGTATATCATTTCTATGTGCATTCATTAAAATATCATTTGATTTGATGCATCAAGAAATAAACTAGAACAAACTGCCTTTGTACATATGTTGAGTTAAAGGAGTGAGGAAAGACATTACAGGAAATGTACTGATAACCTTTAGAAACCCCAACCAATGTCCCTGTTAACATTACATCATTTTCTAAATGCTTTCAAAGCCTATTTTTCCAGAAGACTGACACATTTTTACCACACTTATAAAGCAAAAAGGAAATGCTTTATTTATCTGGAAAAGTGTTCAACATTGATGAGTTTCTGCAGGTCTTCAAAAAATAAAAGGTAAATAAAAGTATTATTTAATTTGCAAAAGACTTACATATTTCCTTCTTTCCTACTGTAGGGAGTTGAAGTAATACATCATTAATATTAATATTTATCTTGTTTTATGTCATTTGATTGGCGGTGGCTTCAAGTGAAACAGACACATAACTGAACAAAATGTGACCTACTCTCAGTTCTTGTGAAAATGCGTAATAAGATGAGTTTTTGGTCATACACTGTATTCATTAAGGATTTTTTTTAAATGAATTTCACAAGGTATTTCTTAATATATAAATATAAATGTATTACATAAAAGCAGGTAAGAACAGACACAAAACTCTGTTGGCTGGGGTCATTCAAAGTGTTACCAGTACATTTGTAACTTGTAGAAGCCACTTTTAAAAAAGTTGTACAGAATATAACTATGACAAGCGAGTGGTGGCAATGTACCAATATTCAAGCTCAAGAATCATCATGTTCAGTAAATATTAAGTTTGTTACTCTTCTTGAGCCGTGCACACTCACGCATTCTATGCAGGAAAAAGCCTCTTGTATAGAATATATACTGAATATATACATCACTTTTTGTCAAGGTTGCAGATTTAAAAAGTGCATTGTAGAAATATTGCAAGGAAACCTTATGATATATTTTCCTACGTTAGTGGGAGGGGAAGCAAGCACATCCATGTATTTCATGCATACCAATGAAAATAGCATTCGAAGTAGTTCATGGAAAGGATCTAGCATGCGATCAACTTGGATCTGTTCCTCAGAGCATGCGTTATGCTAGGCCAGTTCACCTGAGAAGGTACAATAGGTAGGTTCTACAAAAAGGAAACGGTCACCAGGCATCCTATCTCAATGCGCTGCAGTATTATGTACACAGAAGTTTAGGTTTCAAGCTTGCAATTTAAAGTTTCTTTAAAAAAATACGTTTCTCATTTTTAACACAACTACAGTATCTTGAAATGCAGAAAACAGAGGTCTACAACCCCATAAGAAAACTAGAGTTGATTTAGAAAGCACAACTTAACAGACATCATGTTTATGAGTTTCTATAGATCACTGCTGACACAAAAGAAAGCTGTGAGGACCAGAGAAAGATTATGTGTTCATATTTAAAAATGGAGGGATGCCGTTAATGTCTTTCATTTTTGTAAAGCACTTTGCCTTGTGTTGAAATTAAACTTAAGAATACAGTACCTCCCATGATTTTATAGTTTATGAAAACTTTAGATGCTGAGACTCTGATTTGATACTAAATAAACAAACATGTGGGCATGCTCATATTGCTGGTCAGTGTGCTTCCAGCCTGCACTGTTAGCACGTCCACCATAAGAGACAGGTGGATGTCAACAGAAGGAAAAACACTTGGCTGACTCAGATGTACAGTGGGAGCCCTAAATTAGCTTAATGTAGCTTTAAAATAGATGCAAGACTGCTCACAATGTAAAAGCTATCATGCGTATGGTAAGGTTGGCATTCATACTTCATATCAAAGCCACTATCTTAGTTTTTGGGTATGCACAGTTGCTATTTAGATGTAATCAGAAAGCGCAGCTGAGGCTAATGAGACTGTTTGAAGTATGGCAGATAATTGGTCATGAATGTAAAACGTGACAGTAAATCAAAAGTATTAGATGGATGAAATATTTGAACTGATGTCGATGAATGATTTTTTTTTAAAGTCAGGGGATCACAAAGGTCAAAAGGAGTCTGCCGAACATGAATGTCACAGCAATCCATCAAACCAGACATTTAAGTCTGAACAGACCAACAGTTCCATTTAGAAAGCCATACTGATAGCGTACCAAAAATAATTTAAGTAATTTAATGAAAAGGAAATATTCAATAGGATAGCGCTGGACTCCCATACTATTTCCCATGTAAAAAACATACACTGCCTATTATTTGATCATAATTGAATACATTTGGGAGCCCTGCTGCTTTGGCCTCATTTCCCTTTCCATTTTGCAGTCCCCCCCCCGATACAGATTGTTAGTGGCATATGTGCTGCGTCTCACTGGGCTGCGCTGCCTCCTTGATCTATTAAACATCATGTGGTCGGCCACAGAGATTCACTGCCAACGTTTCTTTTAAGAATCTGATGGCAGCAAATAATCTGTTTCAATGAATGAGCGCACACATAAATGTCATTATTGCACTTAAAGAGTTTTCTCCTTAAAGCAGATTTAAGATGAGCTTCAAAGACAAATATCCTTTCGCTTGCGTAATAAAACATCAGATAGCAAAGCTTGATGTACGTCAGTGAGTTGACGGGTGCAGAGTTATAAAACATGACGGCTTCATTTTGGGTCGATGCTGTTTGTGTGTTTCGGTTCTTTCTAAATCAATGACCATGTTTCTCTCTTGAAAAAGGAAACTTGTTTTTTTTCTCCACAAGCTCCCTAATGAAACACGGTTTCTCATACAGACCATGACATCAAAGCTGTACAGTTAGGAAGATGAATCGCTTCCCGGTCTCTGGTTTCCCCTGATAGCGTTCTTTAAAAGCACAGAATCGCCACTTCCTTTTGGTTCATCGAGGCAGACAGCAACACAATGACAATACAGAATGGCAACATAAAACATGACCTATTGCATAGGATCTGAGAATAAAACCCTTTCTCTAGCACGCCCTGTTGACAAGCCTGTTAAACACCAAGATGCTGAGTTATGCAGAAAAGCAGATTAACTATCATTTACTCTGATGCCCGGCCAGGAATGTGACGTTCACCTCACAGACTTTTGAAACTAGCAACAGTGATGCTAGAGAAACCATAACGAACATGTTTAAATGCTTTGCTTCTGTGATGGTGCAGAGAAATTATCTGGCTCAATACGTGCTGTGTGGATGCACGACAACTTAAAGGTGACCTATCATGCAAAATGCACTTTTGTACGTCTTTTATACATGAATATGTGTCCCCGGTGTTCCAGGGAACTCACCAAGTGTCAGAAAACACAACCCTCTCTATTTTCCTCCATACTCAAACTGCCAAGGCACACNTGCACTTTTGTACGTCTTTTATACATGAATATGTGTCCCCGGTGTTCCAGGGAACTCACCAAGTGTCAGAAAACACAACCCTCTCTATTTTCCTCCATACCCAAATCTCTTAAAAAGGGGCTCCAACGGATCTGATACAGACTGATCCAGATTTGAACACTTCTGTGACGTCACAGAAGTGACTCTACGGCTATTGGGCCAACTCCACCAATCAGGAGGAGACAGCCACGGACATTGCCGTTCGAAAGCGCTGGAGACGCTGTAGTACATATGCCAGGCCTGTAGATGGTGCTGTTCTCACAGAATCAGCCCATGAAAAGACAGTGTTAAATTGAGCGAAATGAGGAATGGCTAAAATGCATGATCTGTTTGGTATTTTGAAAAATAAAAAGTATAAATATGCCTTATATAGGTATGGTCCTACACTATATTATTCAAATATAGCATGATAGGTCCACTTTAATGTTTTCATGGGAAATGAAGTTTGCAGATGCTAAAACAAATAGCATTTTAAATATGCGAGGCATTCTACCGGAGCTGACGTAAATATTTATATCATGCATGAAGGCTGAGGCAGACAAATGTAATTCAATGTATGGGCTTCACTGCCTGTGGAGGCACAGTATGAAATACCCAAAGCATACAAAGGTCTTAGCTTGCAGCTTCACATCAACTACATGTTATTTAATTATATATATTACAGTATTATTAAATCAAATGGGATGCATCTCATGTGAGGGCTACTTAAGCAATACCAGAAGATTAAAGAGATATTTTAAGACACATTTGTTCATATGACATTTTTTGAAAGGGGAGGTTTTACAGACCAATGTTGCCCTGGGTTTGTTAATATTTCTCTAACTAGTCAGCTTAAAGGGAACAAAGCGAAGCTAGGAGCCAAATCAAACACAAAAAATACAACCGAGCGAAAATAAATGGCTCATAAAGGTTTCAAGTGCATACGATGGCAGTTATTTAAAGAAATTAAAACCAGTCTAAAATGGCTTCTCTTTTTGTGTTGCCATAAAAATAGTATATAATAAATATTGTTGTTCGCATGCATTTGAGTAAGGCTTGACATCCTCACTTGGGTTGAGGAAGTTGTTATCTGGAATCAGTCTAAATTGCAAAGGGAAAACTTCTAAAGGTATGTTGATTTTGAACAAGGAATCCATTTATGAAAATGCTTATTCATGCAGTATCATTATCTCCATTGAAAGAGGATGAAAACAAGCCAGGAACAGAATGTGTAGCTCCAGGTCAGACGGTGCAGCCTTTATCACTTGCTCACAACATCCATACTTCAGTAGGCTGAGACAGACTTGAGTCTTTGAAAGTAATTGGATAACAAAACCTTTTTTTTTCCTTTCTCAAAACCTCCACCTTTCTCTGCAAACACGTGTGAGGGTTGTGTGAGCTTCTCAAAATGTCTGTCTGCCTCTCCTGGCTCAGCTCTGTTCCACTGGATGAGTCGGTTTTAATTGATGTGTTCTCTAAGGCATTGCTCTTACAATCTTGGCCCGTCCTTGTGCTCTTCAGGGAAATCACAAATTGCAGTGCAAATCCACCACAAAGCAGTCACTTCAAGCTCTTGAAAGAACCTGTCCGCAGAACTGCTCTCGAAGAACTTGGGCAAAACAATTGACAACTTTGACGACTGCAGTTAGTTTCGACGTGCATAAAAACCACGCTCACTAATACAGATCCAATATCTGACGTGTGCACTTTGGGCTTTTGGCTAATAAGTGAAGGAGGAGATGCTATTGTCACTACTTCCCATTCCTCAAATGTCAAGGTTGAAGGCCCGCATGAGAAGATCCAGGTCACCAATATTCGCAGCCTGGAAGAGTTCGGGCTGGTCCATCATGGATAAAGCTATCCTCAGAGCAGCCCAGATGTTTCCAGACATCACCTGGTGGGACTGCTGGCGACTCCGACTTTTCCTCTGAAGGCTCAAAGCCGTCAGGAAGTTTCTGGCCGCCTCTCTGGGGAATCAACAATACTAAGGATCAGTTTTGTTTAGAGCATGCTGTTTATGCTGTGGAAACTTTAAAAAGGTTAATCCTGCTCAGGCCCTGCACACCCAAATGGAAGATGTCACTTAAAGATTGGATATCTTCACACATTCAGGTAACACCAACATTGAATCCATTAGCAGGAGACAAATTACACCTGTGTCTTGTTTTTAGTGTTTGGACAGAATGATACTAAATGAATATTTGTAGAAAGGCCTGTAGCTATTCAATTTTTCCAATTAAATGAAATGCATAAATTATATTGGGTTCAATATTGGGATTAAGGCAGACCTATCCAGGGTGTGGATAGGTACCTACCACTGGTAAGCAAAAAGGTGTTTTTTCGATGCATTGTATGAATGTAACATTTCATACATGGATATTAAAGGTGGGGTAGGTAATTTCGGAGAAACCAGCTCGAGTGCGCTAGAATTTGGAAATACACAGCCAGAAAAAATCGGCCACTTCCTTACAGAGCCCCTCCTCCAACACACACAAATGCGCACATGACCAATGAGGGCACGAGATAAATTTGTGCCCAGATGGAAGGCTGACAGGCAGGTAGGCCATCCAGTTATTTTAGCCGGGCCGTCTAAAATGATCGGTCGTGCTTTTTACAGTAATACGGCTTCCACAGATGATTTTTATGGATTTTTTGTCAAAGCACTTCAGATATTCATTGCTATCGGGATGTTAAGAGCATTCCATGGAATATAACAAAAAGTGTATCTCGAACCGGTTTCTCAAACTTACCTACCCCACCTTTAATGGAGCTAGAATTGCGACTTTATTATTCATCATAAAAATATAAATAAACAAATGCCACTCTATAAAGTTTGATGCAAAGTGTTTTTAAGGCTGTAATGTTAACAATGAGTAAGATATGTTTTTTACATTTAAACAACACTTCGTTTGGGGCACTTTTAGTTTGAAGCCCCATGCAGTTACATACCTGGCCTGAAGTGGAAGCCTGCAACTGATTATTTAAGATTTTGGTACTCCACCCATCGTTTGCTCCACTCATATCTTTGACTAAATGACTGGCAGTTGTTACACACACGTGATTGATGAAGGTAATGGCTACATGTTTGGGATGAAACGGACTCCTCTAGTTTAATGTTGTTGTCAGAAATTGAACCAACAGAGCTGATTAGTTTGACTTGCTGTTGTTTTATTAGATAACGTCATGATAAGCTACTAAATGCTACTGACAGTGCTACGTTATATATTTTCAAAGCTAGCTCACCGGTTAACCCTGTTGTGTCGCTTCCGGAAAGTTTATGGAGGAATAATCCTGTTTGTGTCCCAAAAGAGACACCGGTTTCTCGAAAGTTAGTTAATCCAGTTGTTATCCTTATCCCACTCTTCCACCCTGAAGGTTGTTTTCTCCTCTTTGCCGTCTCCAGGGTGAAAACAACTCTTTCAAAAGGATGAATTAGTCTCCCCTGAGATGAGGAGGGTCTCTGCTTTCTGTAAGTAGGCTATTTGCTGTTTGTTGTACTAACATGCTTAATGATATTTTTTGTGTAGTGGGTGTCCTAGTTTTAATGCTGGGACATTGGACTCTGTTGGCTTCATCATATCTGCTGCTTTGTTCGTACTGCATGTTTAGTATTTGTTTTAGGATGCTTGTTTTCTTTTAGGTGTTGTCTCCTGTGCATTAATAGGCTCTGATAGTTTTGTTTAAAGGAAGGTAGTTGTGATATATGATGAATACTCATGTTCGGATTATGTGCTATGGACTGTTTTGTTTGCCTCTGTTAAATATTTTTGTCCATTTACACAATTGTGTTTATGTTATATTGACTTTAAAAGTAAAGTAAAGTCAACAGGCTTGGCAGTCACTCAGAAAATGTACTTTTCTCCTCAATATTTTAAAACCAGCCAAGCCTATATTACTAGAAATATAACTGAAAGAAAAGCTGTTACACTAAGCTTGCTGATTGTCATCTGCTCCTTCGAACACTAGATATAAATTCAATATATTGTCTGCTATTGTCAATCAGGAAGGTTAATCGATATCTGTAGCCCTAATGTGAAAACTTACTGAAAGCTCTGCTGCATAACAGGTGGATTACTGAATTTATATTTATTCATTTCGTTTCACTTGATTGACTGAAAGATTAGCAAAAATAAACATTTATTGCAATAACGTATGGTTAACCTTAATGCTCTGGAGGGGATAATCATTTTGGCATAATTTTTCACATTGTCATTTGAAAATATATATAAAATGATTATGTGTGTACCAAACTCAGACCTCAAGTCTGTAGATTACATTTATGCACCATACTTACTTCAGGATGGTATTTTAAAACATATTTTCCTTGTAAAATATTACACCACCTGCGATTTGGATATTGCACTAACCATTATGCAATCACAATGAAATTCTGATGAATTATTCAGCCATAGATTGTCTTAAGTAGCTGGAAGTACCATTTTCACTTTTCATCATAGGTGCTACCGTCTACCTTCACTGCATCAAAAAAAGGTAGGAGCTTTGTCCCACTCTCTCATAGTCCCAGGTCACTCACCGATGTGCACCCAGGTTAATACAGCTGATTCCCAGGTTGTAGCGGGACCTGATAAACCCCGGCTGCAGCTCTAGGGCCCTCGTGTAAGCCTCCACCGCCTCCTCGCTCCGGTCCCCGTTTGCCAGCGTGGCCCCCAGGCGATTCCATAACAAGTAGTCCTGGATGAAAGGTGAGTGGTGGGGTTGGTTGATGGATAAGCAATGTCAGAGGGTGAAGATGAAAGATTTGTTTTGAGATGACTTGACTTATAAACTCTTCAGCAACACCTCTTCAGTTATTTTATTACATAAGTAAGAAAAATGCATTTCTGCAACTAGGATACAATTGTTACAAAAGACAGAGTTTGTTGGTGTTGTGAGGTGGAATCATGGGAGTTCTTGTCTTCAACACCTCTGCAGTCATTGCATTCAGCTTGTTCCGGTTACAATTCCTTCAGTGTTCATTGGAGGTCTACAATCTTCCCATCTTTTTCTTCTCTTAACTTAACTTCCAGACGTCCGAGGTTGTCTGATGATGATGATGGTCAAATACATAAAAATGACCAAGACCTAAAATGACCTAAAATTAATGTCCTTAATATGTATACATATATTTATGGAAGCTTCTGGAACACAACCACAATGCTGACGCAAGCACACATTGGATACTTCCTTATGTTTTCCCCGCTTTCCCCCTCCAAAAGTCCTGATCAAACAGATGACAGTTGATTTAACACAAAAGCAAGAGTGAAATAGAGCTGAATAATCTGCTAACGCTCAGCCTTGTATATGAGATGACCGCAGTGTTTCCCCTACCATTGTCTTGGAGGGGCGCTGCGCCAGAGATTCCAGGTGTTTAAAAAAATAAAAATAATAATAATTTCTTTTTTTTTGTGTATTATTTTGTATTTTTTTTATATAGCACCAAATTGCAACTAATCTATATCCCAATGCCAACCCCCCCCCGCTCAGGCAGCACCCCCCAAAACAGTAAACCTAGGGGAAATACTGGACAGCATGACACATCAGTGTTAGAAACTGTTTTTATGCTGAACTTGTTATGCACACACAACAGGGAACTGTTTGGAGAATTATGCAGCTTCCTGCTTTGAAGTCACCTAACAAGGGTATTTTGAGGATAGGTGAGTTACATCACACTGTGTCCTTGCCGTCGTTTAACGCCTGCAGGTAGACAGCACACCCAGAGGTCATGTTCTGCTACAGTATAGGGGTCCTTCATCTTTGGCTAAGCCTAGCAGCGGGATATAATTATCTGCCTTTGTGTTCAGAGCTATTTATTCCAGCAGGGGAGAAGATATTACCAAGTCAAATGTGTGAGGTTGGATTTAACAGTGAGTAATGTTCTTACCGGCCTGGGACAGAGCTGGGAGGACAGAGACTGATTTGCATGAAGGAGATGCAGAGATGGGGGAAATGTTTGTGCCTGTAAGTGTGTGAGTGTGTTTATGATGTTTTTTGTTGTATGAATCATGTGTCAGTCTGTTTTTAGTTTGTGTGTGTGTGCTCTATATATTGCTCTTCTCACAGAGCCTATGTGTGCCAGTCAAGAGTTCACGAGGCCAGATTTAGCTGCTCCTTGCTTCACCTATTGCTGTGACAGTTTGATGTGCTTCACTGCGTCTGTTTGCATGAGGTCTCCTTTGATATTTGTGGCTCTAAGAATATGTGCACATGATTCATGTCTGCTGTATGTGTTTGCATTGGAACATCTGGTGTGTGACAGGTCATGTTTTTTTGTGTGTGTGAGTTTGTGTGTGTGTTTTTTATAGTGCATCTTAAAGTGTTTCTCAGTGGCCAAAACCGTGGGTTGTATCCAATAATATTCATTTTATTATTATTTCACATATTTTAGTGCTTTCACTACAGAGTTAAACAAAATGCCACAGCCATATTATCTTAGTAAGTGAAATCAGGTTGCACGTTGACCCTCCAAGATGATCAAATACGGATTGTCATGCTGGGTTTATATTTATATACAATAATGCATACAGTACAGAAGTATGCCATTAAATACCAAAAAAGCTTTTGTGAGTTTATTTGTATTCCTTTAATTGTTATACAGTAAGCATAACACTCAGTTTAATAATTTTGTGGTACTCGGAAATGTTTCATTACACCTTGTAACGTAACTTCCTATTAGCAGCCATCAGTCAGGATATACAAATCACTGCTCTTTGAGTTTTATCAGGCGAAAAATAAGAAGTATTGGCTGTGAGAGAATACTGGAAGTATGACATGTACTAGAATATTTGAATAAGCCACTGATCATCCATAAATAGTTCTTCATGAAAGGTGCAGAGTTTACACCATTGGCACCGCTTAGCGCCAGCTGGAGTCAACCAGCTGTTAGACATGTCTCTACAGGGAACCCAGTGCTTTCCATGTGTTCACCAACCACAGCCTACAGTCAGCTGGTCAGGTGGTGTTCACATCTCTGCCAGTGTGACCCCGAACTGAATGGCAGCATGGCAGGATACCACTAGCTTAGTGGTGTTTGTTTTGAACTGACCCTCTTAAGGATTTTATTTTTTATTTTGTATCTTCTTACGTTGTACTTTATGTGTATTCTTCCTCAATTTAACAAAATGGTGAAAAATTATCATTTAAAAAAATTGCTTGTTTTTGTTCAACTGAGGCTAGAATTGTCCAATTAAATTATTTCTGCATGCAGAGCATCCATTTCTCTGACAAGTGTTTGTACAACTACTGCTCCACTCCAATCTGTGCGTGTGTGTGTAGTTGCGTGTGTGTCCTACCTCAGGCCGCACTGACAGCGCTGTGTTGAAGGCATCCACAGCTTTCTTGAACTCTCCGCTAACGTTGTAGAGCACCCCGAGGCCCGTCTGCAAATCTGGGTCGATGCTTTCAGAGTTTTGCTGAACTGCTTCCAGGAAGAGCTCTTTGGCCTCAGATTGTAGGGAGCTGTGGACACACACACACACACACACACACACACACACACACACACACACACACACACACAC